GTTATGAAAGAATCACTAATAAAATTTTATATTTTGAAGCTAAATTACTTTAAAATTTAGACAAAAATAGAACTATTATTCTCGAGTCATTGATTGAAACAGATCATGTTTTAGTAGATAAATTAATATTCAAATAGTAAAAGAATGCCCGTATTCTCCCGAAAATAGATTATTACGAGTTATATTTAGCATTCAAGTATTCATTTTAAAGAAAACTTGTCTAGTTATAGACGACAGAGACTGAGATATTGATGTGAGATGGATAAAAAGAAAGGGAGGTTTCACTTATAATCCAAAAATAATTCGAATATTATTTTATAAAAATGTGAAATTAAAGTCAAAGATAAGATGACTAGGATATATAGAAATAAAGATATAGATATCGTTTGAAAATTTTTGTCTAATATATTCATAAATTTCTTCCAGCACTTTAATAAATTGGATTCAAAAGTCTAAATTCTGCATTCTAGAATATATAATTGATTTTATACTTTAGAATACACTATTTAAAATTTATTTTTTGTATTTTGGAATATAAAAATTATATTTTAGATTATAATTTATATTCAAGATTATCCAATCTAAAATATATTTTCTTATTTTTTTATTTCGAAATATATAATTTGAAATATAAAAAATTATATTCAGAACATTTCAAAAACATTTATGGTTACAAATTAAAAGAAATGACTCTATTATATATATATAATATATATATATATTAATATATATATTATATATATATATATATATATATATATATATATATGTGTGTGTGTGTGTGTAAGTTATTTTAAGACGTTATTAGAAATTTGATATTAATTATAAATAAGATGAATTAATAATATATAAAAAATAAAAATTTAATCTCATAAATTTATTTTGTAGAATTGAGTTAAATAAATACACGTTTTAAGAAAATATTAAAGTCATTTTAAATTTTGTATAAAATATTTGTTATGTGTTCGGACCTATTCTATCATTATGTTAGACTATCCTTTAATATTTAATCTATATTTAATATATACAATTTTAAAAAAATAATTATCGACGATCATACATCAGTTAAAAATAAGATAAATATACAATATATAACTAAATGTAAATTTTACTTAGATTATGTGAATTTACCTTCTTAAGAATTTGAAAATTTATTAGTCAATCTATAAATGTTAACAATTAACAATATTTGCATCCGTACCCGGTAGTTAACGTAAGACAAATTTGAAAAACTTTTAGAAAGGCCAAGTGTTATCTTTGCTAGTTGACAAATAGACATTACATAAAATATACAATATAGTATTCATTTAATGTAGTTGATAAATTGTTTGGACTTCATTAGCACCCATCACAAAGGAGAAACTTTTTGATTAAAAGTTTTCTATAATTGGTCGCTTGACAAGAAGGAACCAAGTTGATGTAAAAAAAAATTATGGGCTAGATCAATGAAAAAACCTTTTATTTTCTCTCTGAAAAAAGAATTAGATCCCTAATTTAGTAGTACAATTATTTTTATAATATAGATGCATGTTAATTGTTAATAGCTTAGTTTTTATGAGCCAAAATATTAACTCACGGTCTGTTATCTAATAATTAGAAGTTTTTTGCCACAATTTAAACATATAGAAAGGGGTTATTGGAAAAACTACCTACTCTTGCATAGTTATTAATACGTTGAATTTTGGTATTTTTAAATTAATTGTTATTTAGTTATTTAGGGCAAGTGGCAATAAATTAAGGACATTATTAGTGGTAAGTATATAAATATACCACAGAAAGTCCAAGATCATTTTGAATTCCATTAGAGCATTCAACATCATTACAAATGTCAAAAGAGAGAACAATTCCACATCCATCCCTTCTTTTTATATTTCTTAAATTTATCTTTTAATGTTTAATGCAAATTTAATTCAATAACATTTATTTCACTTTTACCATTGTACCCCTTTGTATTTCCTTACCATTTTGTGTTTAACCTTCATTTTAATCTAAAAGCACCTTATATTCTTATACTTTAACATGCTTTAAATTAATTTGATTTCACTTTGCTCGTGCACTTAGCTGTTTTCCCTCTATCTTTCCACCTCCATTTAATTCTTAAACTACTATTAGTCTTTGGTGCAACTTAATTTCTCCACAGGCTTTTATTTTCTTTCTAATCTTCTGATAATTTGCATTCTTAATTTTTTGTTAAATTACTTTTTCTCATCAATCAGTTGAACATTTTGTAAATCCATAGCGTGCTTTGAACTGTTCTATCTTTTTCCTTTAACAATTCTTCATTAACGTGACATTATGAGATATCATGCTTTGAACTATTCTTGCTTCGGAGTTTTAAAATATTCTCCATGGCTATTCAGAGCTTTGAATATTGATTCAAGTGAGAGCAAAGTTTGAAATTATAAATCTTTTCATTTTAATTAAGTAAATTGTATCGTATAACTGCATGATCAAATTTACGCAAAAAATCGGACGATTTATTTATCACAATTTGTCAAACAGTTCAACTTTCACAAAATTACTAATAATACTAATTAGATTAGAACAAAATATGATTATCAATAATTAGACTGTGATTAGATCACTGTTAATCTAAACTTCATTATGAAAACTATGAATAAAAGTTTGAGATAATCTTTCATTTTAATGAAATGAAACCCAAAACAAACAGTGATGAGAACAAAAGTTTTAACATTAAAACATATATAATATAACAAACATATAACAAACATAGAACTATTAGAGACATCCCTTCCAATTTAGTAGTAGTAATATAATTCTCTGTCTATTACCATATCACTTTTCTGAATGTTCCAGGGAGTGCAGTTTCACTTTGAATTTTTGTTTATAGTAACTCAGATAGTTATACTCCAAATCTAATATGTAATATTATATAGTATAATAAATATATATATATATATATATATATATATATATATGCGTGTCGTGATTTAGTTCTTCAACTGTATAGAGAACTTGTATATGTTCCACGTAATTGTTTTTTCTTTTCAAAGAATGTTCCACGTAGTTGTTTTTTTTTCATGGTATGTTACACGTAATTTTAAATGCATTTTATTATCTTAACGTGTGCCTTTGATGTTTGACGTACGTTAACAATTTATGAATTTTCAAATCATTGAGTAATAATCAAATAGTATTTACTCTGTCAAGATAAAGTGTACTTGCTTTTTGATTTATTAAATAATTACTAGAAAATAATAATTTCACTTTGTTTCTTTACTTTGTAATCCTATCATCTTAATTTTCTTATAACCAACGAAAATGTTTTATTTTAAAATAAAGTAAATTACAAATAAATTCAAGTTAACTATTATTATAAATTTTACATTTTAATTATGTTGATATTTATCAAATTATTAAAATAAAATAAAATATAAAATATAAAATATGAAGGATTACACCAAATTTAAATTTATGATAATCATAAATAAATGAGGTTTAAAATTTTTACAAAATAATAATTATTAATAGAAAAGGTTAACACTTAAAAAAAAGAACTTTCCCAATATATTATCAAAATTTCTGCAAATCGATTACACGACAATACTAATGTACGTTTGAAAAATTTTTGGAAATCATTTTGGGAAAGGTAAAAAAATTTGTAAATTAAAATAAAAAATAGCTTCTATTAATACCAGTTTTTCTCTAACGAACTTTTAAATTTTTATATAAGTTGAATTATTTGAAATAATTATATTTGTGAAATATTCTAATAAGATTGTGTTAGAAAGAAATTGTAAAAAATGTATTTAAAAAACAGGATCAATTTTTAATGATGATTATAACCTCGTCACATCTCATTTTTTTATTTTTAATTTTTAATTTTAGATGGGCTTAATGATAGTTATAGTGCAAACCGTCATTATAAATTTTACATAATTTTTTATTTAATTTTTTTTAACGACGATGCCTATAAATCATTGTGGTTTGGAATTTTAAAAACTTTTAAAAACGACTGTTTCAATGATTATTCAAAAGTCATAATAAAAAGAACTTTCAACTATCATCAAAATCCATTTCTACATTGGTATTATAATATTATCATTAAAAAGTTATCCGAGTTAAATTTAATTTTTTGGATTTATGATATAAGACACTACTAGATAACTATCAAATTATCTATACAGATAAATAAATACAAATTTTACCTAAACTAATTTTATAATATTAAATTAAACCTAAATACAGTCTTAAAAGTATAAAAAAAATCCCTTGTAAACGCGTCATTCAAATTCAAACCATTGATTTTTTTTTTTAACGAAAGTAATTTTTATATGAGGATAAATTTTAGGAAATTATTTTTAATGCATGGTTAGGAGGACATGACTTTTACATCATTAATGAAGTAGAAGTTATGTTAAGTATGATTTGAAACTAATTATTATGAAATTAAATAAACTTGTCATACATAAACACACAAGCGTTTATAATTTGAAGATAAAACAATAAATAATTTCCAATGTATTTTAATTATATCCTACAATTCAAGTACCGTGTGACTGAATTGAAATTAAATTTTTAATCACATCAAAATTGTAGATGTCCCCAGTATTGTTAAAAATATTTTTTTTATTATTATGTAAAAATCGTCCGTTGAATAAACAAAGGCACTAAGATTTGGTCAGCATAAAATTATTTGAAACATCCAACAGGTTTAATCTTCTAAAGTTTACTCATTCAATTATTGCCCTCTCCACTAATTGATTATTATTAACAACTACAGGACCATTACTTTCTTGGGTTAAAAGAAGGCCAGGCAAAAATAAATCAGGAGAATTTAATTATAATTGTTTGATAAAGAAAATAGAAAGAAAAACTAAAAATAAACAGATTCTATAATACATTTTATTTTATTTTTTTCATTTTTTTTTCGTCACTTGATTTTCTTCTCTCTATGCCAATTTATAAACGCGTTTTCAAAACCTAATTGAAAAAGGAAATAAAAGAATGCATAAAGGCAACGCAGGAGAATAGAATAGTAAGATAGACTGCACTATAATACCTAATTGAGTTGTTGTGTAATATCAGAGCTTAACTCGTTAGTTTCCCACCCTCACCTTCCCTCTACCGAATCCACTGTCCTTTTATTCACGTAAGAACTTTCCTCTTTCAAAAAACAAGTTTCTCTGCTCAAAAACTTTCTCAGACGACAACACAACAATGAAGGTAACGAAAAGTTCTACGCTTGGTTAGCTTTGTTACATTTATATCCACATTAAATATTCAAAATATTGCTTCATCTTTTTTCTCAATCCTTTCAATTTCGCACATTAATCCATATGATGTTTCATTTTCTGCAGGGGATACACAGTAGCATTGGCATCCCTGATTTACGACCGCAGCTTGTGCTAATCGCATTTTGTCTTTTCACCTCTTCGTTCGGCTCCAAGGTTGTTTTTCTAATAAACGCTGAAATTCTAATAAAATTGTTAGATTTATTTTTTATGTTGTTGTGACTGAGTCCGAGGTAGCAGATCGGAGAAACTTGCGGGTCGGACAACAAATGCGATGCAGGACTCAGCTGCCAGACATGTCCCGCGAATGGAAATACCCGACCGAGATGTTCGCGGATACAACCCTTGCATCCCACTTCTAAGGTTAGGGGTCCTTTTCCCAATTTTTTTTTTCAGAGTTCGAATCAATGTTAATGGTTTTGGGTTTTGGATTTTGGATTCCGTTCAGGTGAATGGATTACCGTTTAACCGGTATTCGTGGCTCACAACTCATAATTCTTTTGCTCTGGCCGGAGCTAGATCGGCCACCGGTTCCGTCATTTTAGCACCGATGAACCAAGAAGACACTGTTGCAGAACAACTCAAAGTAAGATTCTCTGTCCCTGTTTTTTAATCATAATAATCTGGAAATGGGAATAGGAATAGTAATGTGCAGCCATCGATTAAACAAAACAGAGAATAGCGATTATTTGCTTGCGCTTGCTAATTGCTCAAGGATTGAACCTTTGATTATACTTAGCAGGTATTAATTTATTGATTAATTTGTAAATTCGGAATATGGCATACGACAACCAAGAAAAAGATTATACTGCCAATTTTCAAAAGGGTATCTTTTTGGGTTTCGAAATTGTCAAAGGGTGATTGCGTATATATAACTTTGCTTTAAATACTTATTAAGAAATTATAAATAATTACCTCAATTTTACATTTTATATGTAAACTATCACCATTTTATGAATTTTACTATTTATGTTTTGTATCTCATATTTTATCCATACGATATTAGATTTCTCGTAAAGTAATGACGTGTTATAAAAATAATATAAAGTTAACAAGATTGTTTTGTAAAATTTGACGCCAAAATTATGTTTTTTTTTTGGGATACATCAGTAATATGTTGGAAATTTAACCTGTTTATAAAATTTGTGAAAGTTAAAAAATATTAACGGGAAGATAGGTGAATAACAAACCTACGTGGTAAAGCTCTGAATTAAATAATAATAATAAATTTATAAAGTTAGTAAAATTTATGTTGTTAACACTTTTCTTTCAAAAAAAAAAAAATTGTTTTAAATTTATTTTAAGAGGCTTATTTTAAAAGTAGTAATCTTGACTCTCTTTTTTTTAATTTCCTTCAAACTAACAAATTTTTTTTGAAAGGAATTTATGCTTTTTGGAAGGACTATTAAGCTCTTAGGCATATCGACATGCATTGGGCGGGTTCCATCCCTTTACTGTTTTTGTCTTTGTTTGCATTAGTTTACCATGTGAACGAACGTTTTTTAATTGGTATAGTACAGAAGCCAAACTAGCCAGTAGTTTTTGGATAAAGTTATCAACTTGTATTCTACAAATTTTGAATTTGTATTGTATATATAAATTATAATTTAAACATCGAATATTTTATTTGTGGATATAAAAAAAATATACAATTATCACAAAGCATATATAGAGCTTACTTTGGGAATTGACACTCTCAACCTCCGTTTGTCTATTAGAAAATAAATCACTGCCACTCAGTTTTCCTGTATAAACAAATGGATGCTTTAAGTGCTTATTTGCTTACGGCAGTATTGATTTTAACAAATTCAATTTCAAAGTTTTATGTGAACTAATATTAATCTTAATCATATTTTTGTTAAATTGAGTAAATTAATTTTGTAACTTTTAAACACAGTCGCCCTTTTTATTTGAAAAACATAGATGGTCTGTCTGAATCATGTGCCACTTGCATAATATTTCAAACATACACTAGCTCTGTCTTGTCTTTTTTGACTCTTTTTTTAAGAGAAAAATAAAAGAGAGAAAAAGTCTTGGAGGGTTATGCATTTTTTTAACAAATAAGTAGGACACTTTAAGTTTAGGTTCTGATGTGGTGAATGAATTAATCACATTTGAATTATCCGACCGGTTAAATTCAAGGATAAAGATCTTGATGAATTTGAGAGAAAAATATGTGAAATTCAAATTGCCCGGCATCATTTGTAAATTCAACTATAATTTTGTTCCTCTAAATTTAGTGGTGTAGTGTAAAAACAAAGCACTAACATTATTAGAATTGTTTAATGTTGATGTTTTAATATACGATTATGAATCCTTTATAAATTTTGTTCACAATCTCTTTGTTTCTTGATGTTTTTTCTATTGGATCTACGACAGAACGGCGTGAGAGGATTCATGTTAGATATGTATGATTTCCTAAACGATGTGTGGTTATGTCACTCCGCCCAAGGCACATGTTACAACTTCACTGCATTTGTAAGTGCGTGGAAAGTGACCCTGCTCTGTTCAATTTATAATGTGCGACATAGAAGTTTGGTCGAAAATATTTGTCGTGTTGTAACATTGAAATTTCCATACGAATGTGCAGCAACCTGCCGTAAACGTGCTTAAAGACATGCGATCGTTTCTAGATGCAAATCCATCTGAAATTATCACCATCTTCATAGAGGACTACGTGAAATCCTCTCAGGGTCTAACAAACTTGTTCAAAGCTTCGGGGCTAAGCAAGTATATGTTCCCAGTGTCTCGCATGCCCAAGAATGGCGGAGATTGGCCAACTGTTGATGACATGGTTCAGAAGAATCAGCGCCTAGTGGTCTTCACCTCCAAATCAGCCAAGGAAGCTTCCGAGGGCATCGCTTATCAGTGGACTTACGTTGTAGAAAACCAATGTAAGTTCCCTACCTGCCTCTGCAATGAAACATGTTTTACTTCTGTAATTTGACTCAGAAGTACTAAAGATGAATTTAGTTTTAAAATTTAGCTTATACATAAATTTAACACCTTCCCACTTTAAAAGGGAAGTGATGATCTAAATTTACATATGTTTAAAGTATAACAGTAAAAACACATTTTTTCTGAATGTTGATTATTGATATGCGTGGGAATTACAGATGGAGATGAGGGGATGAAAGCTGGTTCTTGTCCAAGCCGTGCAGAATCTCCTGCAATGAACACAAAGTCTAGATCGTTAGTTTTGGTAAATTATTTTCATTCTGCTCCTAATCGAAGTCAAGCCTGTGCTGATAATTCGGCTCCACTGCTTGGCATGATGGAGACTTGTCATGATGCAGCCGACAAACGTTGGCCAAATTTCATTGCTGTTGATTATTACCAGGTAGATACTTGTCTGACTTTTTATCAAATCCTTCGTCAGTTTAATCATTAATTACTCTCCACTTAGCCTAAAAAATATTTGAAATTTATTGATGATAATAATGATGTTTTAAAGAGGAGTGATGGCGGAGGAGCACCAGAAGCAGTTGATGAAGCAAACGGCCATCTCACTTGTGGCTGTGGCAACATTGCCTATTGCAAGGTTTGTTTTCGATTTTCTTTCACCTCATGTGTAGTTACTGCTTACTACTGCATTTTTACCTATGTAAAGTAACGAAATTGATCCTATATTACGAAATGTAGAGAGATTGAACTATTAAACTGTGTATCAATGACGCGCAGGCAAACGCTACGTTTGGCACTTGTGATGTTCCTCCCATTTCTCCACCTCCACCTGCGTCAGTAACACCCTCCGACAACCAGCAGTCTCAAAATAATAATCATGCAAACGATGCTTATATTGGTAGAACAACCAAGTTGATGCAAACGGTTGTGGTGATTTTGGCGACGATAACTTTGTTGGCATGGTTATAGAATGTTATTAGCTTTGAGTAGTTTCTTGTCATTGAAGATATGCGTGCATGTATGTTGTAAACGTAGTTCAAAATGGTTCGGCCAATTTGATTCCTAGTATTGCATGGAATCTGGGTCATTCTTCATCACACGACACACTTTATGGTTGTCTTCTGACTCCTTTTTATAACACTTTATGTTTGATGATTGACATCCTGAGAAACTAATCAAAATCTTGCTCGTGAAAGCACTTCTTTCTATAACACTTGTTTCTCAAAGGTCGTTAATTTTAAGGTAACTTGTTTTAAGAATATCGTGGTAGCCATCTAACTATTGAATGGGAACAGTTCCCCTTAGTTTTTTTTGTGAAACTCATTAGTTCGTGCATCAGTTAATGTTTCCCCCAATCAGTATTATCAAGAAAACTATACTCAGTTTTTTTTTTCAGCTTACTGTTTGAATTTTAAGCTTAAGCCTTATCCTGAATTTCAAAAGTACAGTTTTTTTCTTTTTTGGCGGGGGGGGGGGGGTTCATCATCTGTGCAAGGAAATGACTATCATCGTCCCCTAAACTGCGCATACTATAACGTAAAGTCCATTATACCTTTTTTAAAACAAAAATTCTTATATCCGACTTGCATTTTACACTGAGTGCTACATCTAAAAAGAACTTCCAAAAAGTTATGCAGGTTTGCAAATGAGCATGCTGAATGTGGTAGAAACTAGGCCGCCCCAACCGATCAACAATGCCCATTATACACACAAGAATTTAAGTCAAATTTAATGAAATGAAAATTGCCACCCAAAGGATCCATCTTCAGGCACTTAGCACTTACCACGAGAGCTGGAAACTTTAATTCAACACGTATCACAAGTTAATAATCCTATAAATTGGAAAAAAAAATGAAGACTGGAACAGGTAAAGCTTCGTTTTTGTTTATTTTTTCTTTACCGCCAACCGACTTTTGTAAGACGAGGCAAGGGAGAATAGAAAGACTGCTCCTGTCACATTTTGCGAAAGAAAAAGCAGAGTGAAATGAAGTGATCACTGATGTAGGCCTAAGTAGTGGTGAATATACGGGTTTAACATGGACCCTAGTACGATAGTAGCTCCATTAGATTATAAACACCATGGAAGCAAAGATACAGAACAGGACTAGACACCAAAACGTGGATGCAACAAATTTATTAAATAACAAGTAACCTCTATGTTACATAAAAATTGATATACTATTAACTAAAAACACAACACAGATGCTAAATTAAATTAAAATACAGATATCCATATTCTGCAAGTTAGCATTAGTCAGTATAGATGCAATTAATGCCATTATTTATCTAATCATTGCGGCATCCCATTTTGTATTTGTATGGAAGTTTAGAAATGATAAAAAGAAACAAGATAGAAGCGTCCAAAGGTGAAGGAAAAGTGCCAGTGAAATATCAATGCTTCTTAGATACATACACTGCATACGGTCCATTGCAGTACTATTCAAAGCCAAATGCAATGCTAAGGTTGCCCAGTTACCCTATTGCTTTAAGGTTGCCCAGCCATTCATTCATGATCTATTGCTTTAAGGCCCTAATTATCGTTTTTATCATTGTAGACATTCTGAGGACAAGATGTAAAATTAAAATAACAAGGCCGTACATATCAAAGTTGTATAGGATGTTTTGAAATTTGAATAGTTAACAATGGCTACATATTTTAACATTGCACACCCTCCTTATCTCTTTTCCTGCATACAAAGAAGGTTATTTGCCCAACTAGGATGCCTTGTACTGCTCTCCACTATATATACTCCAGAAACAATCTGGATCCTACAAAGTAAAAAGCTCTAACACGCTACGACCAGCAAAACCGAAGTCAGGCCTCTGTCCATCAATAAACTATGTCACATCACATAGTTACAAAGGTTAAGGGCTTAACCCACAAGTGGAATTCAAATTTCTAAATTGCAATGGGTTAAAATCATCAAATTAAGTTCAAGATCCACACAGTCTTGGCTTATGTAACTAGACACCATTTCCAGGCATTCACATCATGATCCAAAACAGTGCACAAACTTCAGCTTAGCATAATCAGATGCCCTTCTGAGACAACTCTCTAACAGGAGGGGAATGAAAGCACAAATCCATTACCAGTGTTAAACCATATCAATCCAAGGGCACAGCTTTAAACCCCATTCCGGACCAAACATGTTACCCAAATTATACAACCAGCAGTAGCTAAAACTATTTTCAGAGCGGAGTTTAGAAAGAGCTACATTATCATTGGGCTAAACATTTATTAAGAAACATAATCGCACAACAATGTATTACAACGACAGGGAACAATTGCCCCATGTAATAAGCAATCAAAATTCCTTTGTTTTATCCATATTCCATCCTAATTATTGCTCTAAAAAATTTCTCATCCTATAGTTAAATAATCCATCCTCATCTCTAAAAAATGACGACACTCTATCTGTAAATTCAAAAATTGATCAATACCGTGAATATCCATCTAGGTGGTCTTGGGTACCTCCGCCGCTACGCTGACAGCGGCAGCTTCTTCAATAATCTTCTTATTCTTCTCAATAGCGGCGGCAACTTCTTTCGGCATATACTTCTCATCGTGCTTAGCGAGAACCTCCACGGCAGAAAAATAACACTCCAATCTCCTGGCCTTCTCGGACACGTTATTTGTCGACACCTCCTTCTTGATCTCCTCCGTGAACGGTTTCACGATCCCTTCCGCCACCACGGAATGCCCTTCCCTAAACAAATCCGGCAAGGAACCCTCGTACCGGACAACGATGTCAGTGATCAGATCGGTGATGACGAACTCCACCTCCGGCTTCGACGCCGGGTAAACCACGCTGCCTTCGAGAACCGAGCCTCCCAACTGGAACCGCGCTTTGGAGGGATTGGTCGTGTACTTTTCAAGCGCGTCTGTGGGAGTGATGTAGAACACCAACTGGTCTTGAAAGTTGTTGAGCACGATCACCACGAACCCTGCGAGGCCGCTGAAAGTCAGGGCGTAGGCCCAGAGGCGCCGCGTCTGGAGCTGCCGGGCGCGCGCGCCGATGTCGACCGACTTCCGCGGGCGTGGCGCCGAGCGGCGCGCCGTGGAGAGGAGGCGTTGGGCGGAGAGGAGTGGCGACGAGGGTTGGAACGGAGGGCGGCGGAGGGAAGAGGGGAGGAGTGAAGCGGTGCGAAGGAGATGGGATCTGAATCGGAGTGCGAGTGACGAAGCCATTTGCCTTGGTAAAGTGAAAGGGAGTAACGAATGATTGTTGGGTTTAGGATTCTGAATTAGACTAAGCCGCCGCCATGGCTGAAGCTGAAACTCAACAACCCGACGTAACGGAGAAGTTTCTCGTACCCATTAAATGAAAAAATGAAAAAAGGAAAACAAATTTTGATATGACAAAAATCAATAAAATTCTCAACAATTTTTTTGATAAATATAGATTAAAATATAAAATTATAAGGTATGGTATATTAAACATTTATATAATATTTTAAAATATAAAATTATAAGCTGAAACATTTATATAATATTCTTGCTTCGTAGCTGCAGGCCAAGAAGACATGGGCCTAGAAGTATTTATAAGAAGATACAGTGCATTATGAGGTGATTCCATAAGAAATTAAGAAAAGTGAGTAATCTCTGAGGGAAGTGTAAGAGAAGGAAGAAAGAATTGGGATATTTTGAAGGGAGAGATAAAAAGTACTTTTCGTGGACCAATTACGCAATTCATCTCTTTCTTAATTTATTTGAGTTGCAGTTCCTTCCACTATTGGCAATCATGAATGTATAAATACTGCTCTCCCTCCATTTCAAATTTATCTTCCTTATTTACTATTACTGTCATCTTCATGGATTCTCAAGTCTTGCTCGGCGTTGCACTTTCATCTGTCGGTGGTTTCAGCACTTCCATCGGTACTTTCATTCATCATTCCATTATATATCTTTTCAATGCAACCCTCTATATTTCTACTTCATATTTAAACAGGTGCACTTTTCGTAATCCTTAGTAAAGCTCCAAGTTTGAAGGTGCTTGGACTGTTACAGGTGATTTTCTATCTCCTTCCAACTCCAAAACTACGTTTTATCTGTTTTCAGATTCCATGTCTTTTGAAAGACGAAGTTATTTAGATATATTTTGTGCTATTTTTTTTGGTGTAAAATATCTATCTAAGTCGGGTTTTAAGAGAAGCTTCAAGATAAAATCTCATAAGTTTAGTGAGTTTTTCTTTCAAGAACTTGTTCTTTTGAGTGGATTTAAAGAAATGAATTTGAAAGAATTGGAGAGGATTTGAAAATAATTTTTTTTGTCGTTCTTTTGAGCGAATTTAAAAGTAATAAAAAATAAAATTTATAAAAATTAGTATAAAATTATATTGACGTAACCAATTAAAAAAATTATTTTCAAATTCATTCTCATTTAATTTTAAATTCATTAAAAAAACGAAAAAAAAAATTATCTAAAAATCCTCTCAAAATCCACTCAAAAACAGCCCTAAGTTTTCTATATGATATTCAACGTCATATTCAATATATATATATATATATATATATATAAAAGGGTAGAAAGATGCACGGAAAAACATAAAAATTAAGTGCAAAAATTAAGGACTTAGAAGGTAAAAAATCACGTGAATTGAGAAGAATTTGATGACTAAGACATTCCTGAAGATTTGAGAAGAATTATTGGGTATTGCAAAAGATAATGGATTATATTTTTTACATAATCCATTATCATTTTAATATTTATGTTTTTCATAATACAATAAATAATAAAATAAATAATAAATTAACATAAAAAATATTAAATTTTATTTTAATTATATTTTTAAAAACAAATTTATATTTTAAATTAGTTTTAGAAATAATTTTACAAATTACTTATAATATATTAATATAAATTTATTGTACTATATTAATAAAATCATTTACTATCTTTTTACTCACTTTTACTATTTTTTTATACGTAAAAAATCTAACATAAAATCATGTAATTTAATGTTTATGATTGTTTTTTATAAAATGTATGATTGAATTCTTTGATTTTTGCATGCTTAAGCATAATAACTAAAAGCATATCATTCCATGAAGGGTTTTGCTGCTGGTTTGATGCTGAGTATATCATTCTTTGATCTCACTCATAATGCCTTGAACTCACTCGGCTTCCTTAGAGGCAACCTTTGGGTATGCTGTTCTGTCATCTTCCATCATAATTCAATTAATCTACCATCTTCCTTCAAACTTTTTCTCACCATAAATTTTCACTTCTTTTTCTCTAGTTCTTTGCTGGTGTCATATTCTTTGCTGTTGTTGCCAAATTTATACCAGAACCGACACCTGCTCCTCCCTTTTCAAATGATAAGAGTACCAAGGTTTGAATGAACTTTTACCTGCTCAATCACTGCTCAATGGCATTGCAGATTCTGAGTTATTTTCCACAGATAAAAAGTACTAAAATGTGTAACACTCTTGAAAATAGAAATCTGGGAATGAAGGAAACAATGGCATTATGAAAAGGCGTCGCCGTCAAGTTTTACTCAGTGGTGTTATCACAGCCATAGGTACGGTTAATTGCATCAGCTCTTTCCAATAGAGAGTGGAGGAAATTTGAATTTTTCTTTTCATCATATAAGTTGATTTCTAACTTTTCATTTGGATTTTACCACACAGGTATAAGTCTACATAATTTTCCAGAAGGAATGGCAGTGTACCTTGGATCCATGAAGGTAACCTTTCTCTAAAAGACTTATATTCTAGTATCTAATATGATTGTTAATTCCACTTCATTTTTTATGATTTTCTTCTTTTAATAGGGAGTTCGTGTTGGTCTTAACCTTGCCCTGGCCATTGCACTGCACAACATCCCTGAGGTATGAATTTGTCTCCTGACTATATGCTGTAATTCATGAGTCTATCAATCGATATCAAAGAGATTCGAATCTAACTTATGTAAGGAATTAACAATCGTTTTCAATCTAAAATCTTAAAACAAAACAAAAATTATGAATCTTTATTCTTATATAGTTTTATGTCATTTTTTTCTATAAAATTTCATGCCATCTCTCTCAATGTTATAGTTTATTTTTGTAGTATCATTTGTGTTTCACATAAACAATTATTTATGACAATCTTCTGTTTTTCAGGGTGTTGCTGTTGCACTTCCCGTCTATTTTGCGACAGAAAGGTAAGAACCTTCGTGGATTCTATATACTCTATTGTATAAGTTTATTTTTTATTTCTAAGAGTATTAAATACAAATCAGATGCTTAAGAAGTTATATGTACATGATGTCATTGCGAAGTTGAAACAGTGTAATTCTTTCTTTTGATACACAACAATTATTGATCATAAAATCTCTGTTGTCTGTTATGTTTGTATTTCACTGGAAATTTGAATGATAAATTTCCTTGTTCATTTGTAAATGTGTCGTAGTAAATGGGAGGCATTCAAATTGGCATCACTTTCCGGCTTTGCTGAGCCACTGGGCGTTATAATTGTAGGTAAATGATCTGCTTTCTTTGCTTCGCATCATACAAATAATTTGGCATATTAACATTGGATCCCTTTCTCTCTCAATTCCAGAGAGAGATATTTTGTTTAATGGTTTCCATGCAAAGATATGTTTTTAACACTCTTGGAGTTAAAGATGTGTGTGAGTTAATAATTTTGAACTTAGTGCGATGATTTTTCTTCCTTCTCTGTAGCCTGTTTATTCCCTACCAGCCTAAATCCTGAGATTCTTGAAGGTATTCTTGGATCAGGTTAGCACAAACACAATTTCTAGAATTTGTTTGTGGGCACTTTTTTATTTATATTTTCTGATGGTTCTATTTTGATTAACAGTTGGTGGAATTATGGCTTTTCTAACCCTTCACGAAATGATACCACTAGCTTTTGAGTATGCGGGACAAAAACAATCTGTTAAGGCCGTCTTTTGTGGGATGGCTTTCATGTCTGCAAGGTACTTGAAAAAACATCTGAAAGACATGCAACATTTAGTTTTTATTGTTACTTTGATGGTAACTGTTTTAATGCAAATTAAGGTGACAAAAGTAAGTGTAGATGATTGACATAGATGGTTAAAAAACTGGTAACAACAATTCTTACCTTTATCTGATTTTCAATTTCACAACACCACTTTTCTCATTTCATGGACAACATCCTCAGGAATATTCTCTAACAATCTAGCAGTTCTATCATATTATTAGCGTCCTGCATACTAGTTTTACTACAGTGCCCCCCGATTTTACCACATTTTATGTGAGCAAGAGTTGATAACATAGAGTATTGCTGGCTGTGCAGCTTGTATTTTCTACGTATGAGTTTACCAGAGGACATGTAACTGGGAACAATCTCTTTCTTTTCTGAATGAGATGCATTTCAGACTATCATTATGGGCTGTCTTCTTGCTGCTGTAATCAGGAAGATGCCTTCAGAGACGAACTCCAAAATTTCCAGTAACATTAATGTACAGCAGGAAGATATAGCAGTTGAACATGAAGCAGGTAGGAGCCATTCATCTGTAATGATGGTTCCCCTCAATACATATGTACAAACAAAAGCAACTTGCAATTAATGTTCTTCTGTTATCTTAACTGGTGTTCTTTATTTACTACTAGTTCTTGAACTTATACAACACACCATTCGTTGGACAAAAGTTTCATTTTCTGAAAAAAAATCGTTTCACAACTCACTTTGCTTCCTCTACTCTCACATGAATCTCTGTATCTTCACTACATTTCTATTTAGCAGCAAGAATATTATCCTACGATTATGACAGAAAAATTCACAATGTGATGCACCAAAGTTCGAATTCTTACCAAGAGAGATCAAAAAAGGAAAAAGCATTCTTATGTCATACAGAAAAAAAATATTATTTCTTCATCCAGACCCGAAATTAGTGGAGAACTTAAAATAAAAAGGGGATATATATTACTTACAGTATATATTTTACTTACAGTGAGCTAGATTTATAACTCTAAGGGAGTTTGACAAAACATGTTACAATTCAAAAACAGCATTTTAACAAAAAAAGTTGTGTTTGTTTGAGTGGATAATCCTGTGCACTCAGATTTACCAAGACCGAAATGAGTGATATCTAGTGTTCGTATGGACTGATTTGACAGTTATATCCAGGACGAATTTGCGAGATTAGCCAAACACATGCATCTGGCGCGCTGATTAGAAAGGATTTGAGAAATTTTTACACGTTTTGTTATAGAATTCCTGCATCTTTAAGATAACTTTTTGACTCACCATTCGTGGTGTTTGTGAATTGGACGTTAGCTTTTCTCTCTCTATGTTATCATTCACATGACCTAAAAATGTTAATATTATATATAATATTAATATTAATATTAATAATAATATATTATATGTATAATAATATTATTAATAACAATATTATATATATATATATATATATAATAATAATAATAAATAATAACAGTAAAAATAATAATATATCAATTTTTATCATAAGACAAATTTTATATTTTAATTTACTAAAATATTTTTTTATCTATCGTATCTAATAAAAGGTTTAAAGAATAATTCTGATATATTATTTCAAAGAGTAGAGTACCATATATATACATTTAAGGATCCTATAATCCTTCATCTATTAAAGGAATGATAGGTGCACAAATCTGGACAAATTATAATAATATCTAAATTATAACTGACATAATATTTGATTGCCTAATATCCTTTAATAGAATATTTGGCATATCTTAACACCTCCACTCAAGTTGGTGCATGGATATCACACATTCCCAACTTGAATAGAGACTCATTAAACAATCTTTTTGATACTCCTTTGGTGAGAACATCAACCAACTGCAATTCTGATCTTACAAAAGAAAATGAAATTATTCCAGCTTGAAGCTTCTCTTTGATGAAATGTCTATCAATCTTCACATGCTTTGTTCTATCATGTTGCACAGGATTGTGAGCAATTGCTATAGCCGAAGTATTGTCACAGTACAAATTCATAGGTTCATTTTGTGTAAAGCCCAAATCTGATAGCACATTTTTAATCCACAAAAGTTCACATACACCTAGTGCCATGCCTCTGAATTCTGCTTCAGCACTAGATCTTGCTACTACAGGTTGTTTTTTACTCCTCCAAGTTACAAGATTCCCTCCTACAAAAGTAAAGTATCCAGAGGTAGATCTTCTATCATCTTTTGAACCTGCCCAATCTGCATCAGTGTACCCTTCTACCTTTAAGTTTTCATGATTTGAGAACAAAATTCCTTTTCCAGGAGCGGACTTCAAATATCTCAAAATCCTTTCAACAGCATCCATATGAAGCTTCCGTGGGTCATGCATAAATTGACTAACAACATTCACTGCATAAGTGATATCTGGACGTGTATGGCACAAATAAATTAATTTTCCTACCAGCCTTTGGTATCTTCCTCTGTCTATGCTTGCTGAATTTGAGCATTGAAAAAGTTTATGATTTTGTTCAATTGGTGTATCAGCTGGTTTACTCCCAAGCAGCCCAGTTTCCGATAGTAAATCAATAGTATATTTTCTTTGGCATAGAAAAATACCATGTTTTGATCTAGCTACTTCAATACCTAAAAAATATTTAAGATTTCCAAGTTGTTTCATCTCAAATTCAGATGCAAGGTATTGTTGTAAACTAGAAATCTCATCTTGGTCATTTCCTGTAACAATCATGTCATCTACATATATAATCAAAGCTGTAATTTTTCCTTTTCCTCTCTTAAAAAATAAGGTGTGATCAGAGTTACTCGCTCTATAGCCAAAAGCCTTCATAGACTTGGTAAACCTTCCAAACCATGCTCTTGGGGATTGTTTTAATCCATATAGAGCCTTCTTTAATTTGCAAACCTTCATTCCAATTGAATCAGTCATGCCTGGTGGAGAATCCATATAAATTTCTTCTGAAATTTCTCCGTGTAGGAAAGCGTTTTTCACATCAAATTGTAGAAGAGGCCAATCTTGGTTTGCAGCTAGCGACAAAAGTATTCTCACAGTATTGAGTTTGGCTACTGGTGCGAACGTCTCTTGGTAATCTACACCATAAGACTGAGTGTAACCTTTAGCCACAAGTCGTGCTTTATACCTCTCAACAGTTCCATCAGCTTTATGCTTAATTGTAAAGACCCATCTGCAGCCCACAGTTTTCTTCCCTTTTGGTAAGGACACAAGATCCCAAGTGTTGTTTTTTTCTAAAGCTGCCATCTCCTCAACCATTGCTTCGGTCCATCTAGGATCTGCCAAAGCTTCTTGTACATTACTAGGAATAGAAATTGAAGATAATTGAGATACAAATGATGCATATGACTGAGATAACCTGTGAGATGACACATATTTACTAATGGGATATTTAACTTTGGCTTGGAGGTCTGGTTCATATTTAACTGGAGGTTGACCACGGTTAGAACGAGGTGGAAGAATATATTGAACAGTAGTAGACTCAGTGTTTGGTGTGCTGGTGGTCTCACGCAGACAAGAATCAATTTCATGATCAATTTCATTAGTATTATCAGAGATAGTATCAGAAGGTACCTCTGAAGAGTCAAGTTGAACCTGTGGAGAAGATTGAGCCAATTGGTTATGATCAGAAGACACTGTATTATCCAGAAAAGAAGGGTCCATATTTAGGATTGGCTCACTTCCTGCAGAATGATCCTCACACAATAATTTATCTTCACAATCAAACATACCAACATCACGATTATGCACTTCACTTTCATTGCCTCCCTGAAGTGGAGAATCAACATAAAAAAATTCATGCTCATTAAATGTCACATCCATAGAAATATAAAATTTCCTTGATGGTGGATGGTAAGCACGATAACCTTTTTGAGTTGATCCATACCCAACAAAAACACATTTGATCGCTCGTTCTTCAAGCTTTGTACGTTGATGTGGGTGTAAGTGAACATATATAACACATCCAAAAATATGAGGTGGTAAATAAACTATGGGAGGAAGGATACAATGATCAGACAACACATCAAAAGGCCTTCGAAAGTTAAGCACACTAGAAGGAGTTCGATTAATTAAATAAACGGCAGAGCTCACAGCTTCACCCCATAAATGAGATGGGACATTACCATCTATCAAAAGTGATCTTGTCACCTCTAATATATGTCTATTTTTCCTCTCAGCCACTCCATTTTGTTGTGGTGAATAAGGACATGTAGTTTGATGCAAGATGCCTTTAGAGTTCATGAACTCTATTAATTCAGTCTTAAAATATTCTCCTCCATTGTCTGATCGAATGACCTTAATAGATGTGTTAAATTGTGTAACAATCAAATGATAGAAGGAACGAACCACATCACACACATCACTTTTATATTTAAGCAAATATACCCAGGTTACCCGAGTACAATCATCAACAAAACTGATAAACCATTTTTTTCCATTATGTGTAGATTGCGGGGCAGGGCCCCAAACATCTGTGTGAATTAATGAAAAAGGAAAATTAGTTTTGTTATTGCTTAAAGGAAACACAACACGATGATTTTTTGCCAAAACACAAGTTTCACAAAAAAAATCAGAAATATTGCATTTATGAAATAGTGATGGAAATAGTTTTTTTAAATAACCAAAAGAGGGATGTCCCAACCGTCTATGCCACAACCAAATTTCTTTTTTGTTTTTATCTTGTATGTGATCGTTCGCAAGACAAGTCAATCCTTTATTATGGTTTGATTGTGAGACATTTTCAAGATAATACAGTCCTTCACTCTCTCTACCACTAGCAATCTTCTCCTTGGAATGGATGTTCTGAAAAAGACAATGGGTTGGGTAAAATAAGGCAACACAAGAATGTGATTTGGTTAACTTGCTGACGGAGATAAGATTACAGTTTAATGTAGGAACAAATAAAACATCAGGAATCGATAAAGAGGGTGAGAGGGATATAGTACCTATACCTTCAATAGGAGATGAGACCCCATTGGCATTAATAATAACAGTTTTAGAACAATTAGAGGAAAAATTAGTAAATATATGAGGATCACAAGTCATATGATCAGTAGCACCCGAATCAATTATCCAATTACTATCCTTAGTAACAACAGAAAGATTAAGGGCAGAGTTAGATACACCTGACTTGGTCACAAATCCGACAGCAGTAGAAATATAACTCTTGAAAGCAGCGGAAGTTCCAGAATCATGTTTCTCCGATTGATTGTCATCGGAAGAAGCCATCAGAAATATTCAATGAAAAAAGGCACTGATTCCTATATCTTAGAGGATATCAGTGTTGGCTCTGATACCATAATAAAAGGTTTAAAGAATAATTCTGATATTTTATTTCAAAGAGTAGAGTACCATATATATACATTTAAGGATCCTATAATCCTTCATCTATTAAAGGAATGACAGGTGCACAAATCTGCACAAATTATAATAATATCTAAATTATAACTAACATAATATTTGATTGCCTAATATTCTTTAATAGAATATTTGGCATATCTTAACAATATCAACTAAATCATTCACAAACTTTCTTTTCAAACTCACTCACTTTTATATTTAAATCCCTTCAAAGAAACACCATAAATTCATCCACTAAAATTCATCTAAATTTATC